TAAATTTAGGCTCTAAGCTATGATCCATGTAAACAAATAGGGCATTTCGTAGACATGAAAAGTAAAACTTAAATCCAGTCCACTAGTAGAAAATATCCAATTATACTGGGTGTGGTGGTACATGCCTGTAATCTCAGCTACTTGGGAGGCTAAGTCAGGAGAATTGAAAATTCCAGGCCAAGCTGAACAACTCAGTTGCTCTCAAAATAAGATGGGCTGGAGATGTAGCCCAGTGGTGAAGCATTTATTTGCCTGGGACACGGCAGGCCCTAAGTTCAATCCCCATTAACACAGAAGAAGGAAGGAAGAAAACTTAATTATACATTAGCCATGAAATTACAGGAAAGGATAATGTGCATGAAGTACTCCAGGAACAAATAATCAAGAAATAGTGGATAACACCTGAGCGATCTCAGGTTAAGTAGGACAAATTCAGCTGTAAATATTTAGTTGAAGCTCTCTAAATAACACAAACCAAGATTAAAATGAAAGTACAGCAGCACAGTAAAATCAGAAAAGACAAACACATGGTATAAAAATTCTAGCCAGGCATGGTGCTGCTCACCTGTAATCCAACCTACTGCAGAGAAGGGAAGAACCAAAAGGCTGGGCTGGTCAATTTAGGGAGAACCATCTTAAAATTCCATTTTAATAAAAGAGCTAAGGATGTATCTCAGCTCCCTGGGTTCAATCTCCAACACAACAGTACATTACTGAACTTTCCTCTTACTCTCTCTAGGTAAGAAGGCCAAACATATAGTCCTGAGGAGAAATCTTATTTGGCAAGGTAAATTCATTAATAAAATATTAAATGCTTCTATTAATTATAATTATGAAAACGGTTTTGGTAATTTCAAACAATGCTATTGAAAAGGGAATCAAATAGTTATAAAACAAGCAACACAGTAACAAAACTGTAGCCCAAAGAAGTCCTTTAAACTTATCTTTAATAGCAGGAAAATCTGAGTATCAACATTTCCTTTAATTTCTTCTAAATGTAAGTCTTTAAGAACCTAATGTAAGTGGGACCTGGTGATGCACACCTATAATCCCAGCACTCAGAAGGCTGAGCCAGGAAGATCACTGTTGAGTTCAAACCCAGCTTGAACTACACAGTGAGATGAACTCTCAAAAAAACAAAAAAAACCAAACCCTAACATAAATCTTGAAAGGAAAATTGTACAAATGAGATGCATGTTTCTATGCTTTGTTTTCCCCCACTCAAAACAGAAGTTCTCATGGGCCTTAAGAGTCTTCCTCATTTTGTATCTTTGGAACTACTGTGCCTTGGTTATCGCAATTAAGTATTGGTTAAATGACTACCCCTTCTTTATCTGGGGTTAATTCTTTACCTAAAAGAGGCTTCATAAATTCTCACAGAACTTTTCAAAATTATGTCTATTTTCACAGAAAACGGTTTAGTAAATCTCAGACCCTCTGTAGTTGTTCTTTAAACTCCATTCTGAAAAAGACAACTTGTGTCAAAAACCAAGTACACAATTAACCAGTTCTTGTATACACTAATAAACCAAGTTGCTATTCAAAAACAAGTGAAAAAGGAATCTGACTTGAGAACTTAATCTGTTAAGAACTTAATTTCTTAAAAGGATCATTGAACAAATTTTTAAGAGAAACCCTAAGAGACATATACCCTGTACAAGAAGCACCTGAACCTAGGAATTAAAGTTGGATAAAACAATGTGTAGGAAGTGTATTCAACTTTGTATCTGTCAGCAACAAAAACTGAAATTAACACAGCAGAGGACAGTGAGGATGATGAAAGGATGTTAGTCAGTCATCCCTTTTCACATTAAATTTTAAGGTAATTATAGATCTGCATTCCCCAGTCAGTCACACAACTACTCTATTCTAAGTTGGTTAGCTGTGTTAAAGTACTGACCACTACCATTAAAAGAAAGGCACCCAAGACTTAAGGCTAGCTAGCCTAGTTAGGTTGGGAATAAGAAGCATATTTCATTCACTCTAAGATAACTGCTACTAAATTCACTCCTTCCAAAACATGTATATTAATTCACAAATTAGCCAGACCTTAAAAATAAAACTACATCCCCAGTTACTTGAATATGAGCTAGGAAAAGTTTATTTCAGGTATTAAATACTAAAATCCAATTTACTATACAAATTGAACTGGCCCAGAGCTTGACCTTTTTGAGGTGTACTACATGATTTGAATCTCAGCCACTTCTTAGCTATGTGACAAGTCAACATAACCTTTCTGTATTACCTCAGCCATAAAATGGAATATCTCACCTCTCACATGGTTGTTTTGAAGACTAAATACTGCTCATAGAGCTTAGAGTATCTGGTGTATACTTGAGGATTTACATCTTACCTATTGTAATACACGCAAAAAGTTCTGTAGTTAAGAGAACACACTCTAGAGATCCAGATGGCCGGGGTTCTGATCCCATCTGTCACATGAACCTAGATTTTCTTCCCCTTAACCTCTCTGCTCTAGTTTCAGATTTGAAAGTCCAGACAACTGTACTGCTTCCTATATTTGTTACAAAATCCAATTAGTTATTGTTTCAAACAGTTGTAACAGACTGAACCCAGGGCTGGCCAGAGTTACTCATTCAGGGTGAGTTCAGGTCAAATATTAAGGGTTTAAAAAAAAAAAGTGCAATATTCAAACATTCCCCAAACCTATATACTGTAATCATTTTGTATAACAGAAGCGGTAAAAAATTATTTATGGACCCCACCATCAAATCAATTTGAAGTTTTACTTTTTTGATTTCTTTTGTCCAACAGCGCTACCTGGGATCATAGTACAGCTAGTCCATAGAAGAACTACAGTTACAAACAATTAAGGTTACTTGATCTAAGAAACAGTCAAAACATGTAAGTTGATGAAAAATTCATAAATGGCTTTGCTGACTGAATTACTGAACATAAACAGTATTTCAGTAATAAATGCTTCAATAAATTAGGACTACAGATGTCTTTCACATAAACATAAACGCAAAATGAACAGGTAACATACAGTCACAATGATATTAATGGCTATTCTAGTCCTTTTTAGAAAGAAGTTACCTTAAAACAAAACATTACCCTTCCAAACTGTTCACAATAAATGACTGGACTTTCCTCCCCTACCTGTCTATGAACTGGAGATAGAATTCTCGCCTTGCACAAGCTAAGCAAACGGTCTACCACTGGGCTACAACCTTTTCTAACTTTTGAGGCAAGGTCACAGACCTTTTTCTAACTTTTGAGGCAAGGTCTCCCAATGTTGCTCAGGCTGACTAGGAAATACATTATACTGTATTTTTTTTTTAAAAAACTTGCTGATGTGATTCTGACATTAACGAGTGGGGGAAAAAATTTATACATGCTTGAACTTTTTTATGGGTTGAATCAACCATGTACCACATAAATACTGGTTTTTCCATTTTGTGAAGTCTTCAAATCTCAGTATTATGTAATTCTTTAAAATATTTAGAATCACCACCTGGTATCAAGACCACTAGACTACCAACTTGGTATCAAGACCAATAAACTACCAAAGTTCTTTTAAAAAGTTTCTAAGAACTACACACTGTGATCTTAAACAGCAATACAAGTGTCAGGAGCCAGGACCCTTTTCAAGTCCACACATTACCACATGTAGTCCATACCATTACTAGGAACCTAACATCTGTTTCCACTGCTGCCCTCCCAGTGTCTACAACAGTGCCTAGTGTCTACCTATCAGCTCACAGCTATTTATTGATCATGTGTAACAAACACCCATCTCAGAGAAACCCACACATAAGCTTGCTCACAAATAGAACTCTAAAACATTTCTGCTCAATGTTCACTCTTAACCACTGCCATATTGCCTTTCTAGAGCTTTTAAATTAAAATGGTGTCACAGCAGCTGGGTATCACCTGTAAAAGAAAAAAAATCAATGAGACCTTCCTTCACATGCATAAAAAGCAATGGATCTGAGACTATTTTGCGTTATTATCGTTTGAACTAATTTCCCAGAGATACAAGGTTCTGATACGTATTGAATATGATGTCTCTGTATTAAGCATGCTGTAAATACAACTATGCTCAAGGTGACACCTTTAAAGTGGTTACAGAAAGGTTATCACTTAGAAATCTTAAAGCCCTAAGCCCCAATGACTTTTTCTTACTCTCCTTTGCATCTGAAAAACACAGATTCAAGTTAGCATTTTCATAAACTCACTATGACAGTACAGTGGTAATCTAAAACAATTCACGATTTCGGCAACGATGAGTTAAAATATAAACCTTATCTTTTATAACACATCAGTTTTGCCACTTACGTTCCAAAGCTAGACTTATTAAATAATTGTAAGTTAAGCAGATCAGATCTATTTCAGTGAAGTCAAATCCTCCCAAATGTCTTAGAAAGTATCCTCAAAGTTTCTAACCTACGTCTCTCAGTTTCCCGTAAGGCTGAATTTGTTCCCTCATATTTTTTTCAAGTTAACTGTAAATACTCCACCCTCGATTGTGCAAGAACCAAATACACCACACATACACAAGACACAGAAAAACGTAAGACTCCAAGAGTTCGAATTCGGTGAAATCTTGGGCAGTGGGTCCCCAAGCAGTGCTTGAGACCCGATATAAAAGTTACCCCTTGACAAAGAATAGACCCCACACTATTAGGAACGGAGACGCCGGAAAGGGCCTGAGCCGGCGACAGCCGGCGCCATCTTAAGATGCGGGACAGAAGTTGGAGCAGAACCGAGACTGAACCGGGCGGGGACCCTCGCTCCCGGCCGCGGCGCGCTGGCCCCAGGGCCCAGGTGCGCGGCGGGACCCCGCTCCGGGCGGCGTGGCCCGGATCCCGCAGGGCCCCGACGCTCCCATGCCCCCGGGCCGGCCCGCCGCGTACCCTCCAAGTCCGGTTCCGGGGACCCCACCCGGCCCCCGCCAGGACAGCCCCGGCCCCCGCCAGGACAGCCCCGGCCGCTTCCCCCGCACCCCGCCCGGCCGTACCTTATTAATCCGCTTCAGCGCCATGGTCCGTGCTGTCCCGGCCCTCGGTGTCCGCGTGTGCTCGGTCCCGCCGCGTCTGGATGGTCCTCGGCTCCCAGCGGCTCAGACACGGCCCTTCGCGAGAACGGACGGGGCAGTCAGCGCTCGCCCGGGGACCGCGCCGGCCGGGGTTGAGGGGTGCGGGGCCGGGAGTGGGG